CCCCCCCCCCCCTTTCCCCTCTGGGCCTTTGCTGGCTCACTGCCTCCCTTTATTCATGGAAGGTTGGGGTCTCCCAAGCCTGAGAACTACTAGCATTTTTGTTCCTTCGCTCTTTTTTAAAAAATGTTCTTTTAAATTGATTTTTAGAGAGAGAGGAAGGCAGAGGAAGAGAGAGAGAGAAACACAGATGAGAGAAACATCGATTGGCTGCCTCCTGCAGGCCGCCTACGGGGATTGAGCCCGAAACCAGGGCGCGTTCCCCGACTGGGAATTGAACTGGGGACCTCTTGGTGCCTGGGACGACGCTCGATCCCGAGCACACCGGCCAGGTGCACTTCTCCCTTTAGAGTGTCCTTTCCACTCAGAAGTTTCCAGACCCTCCACGTTAAGGTCTTAGTTTTGATCTAACTTCCCAGTTCTGTGTTTCCATTTATAGTTATCTCCACCAGGTTATCGCGTCAGCGTTGGAAACCTTACCCTGGAAAATAAACTTCTTTCCAGGGGCTTTCTCTCCGTAAGGCTTCTCTCTCCCTTTTCCTTCCCTTCCATCTCAGTGCCCCTTAGATGTTTTTCACACTTTCAGCCCTTTTTATTCCAGACGTGGTAGCTTAGGCCTGGGTACCTAATTGTTTCATAATCCCTTCTTCAAGTGCAATCCTGAGAACATGTGACTAGCATCCTAACCAGACACTTAAAACAGAAAATAATCACCTATGGGATTGGCAAAGATAAAAATGTTTGCTAAGACACTGTGTTGGCAAAAGTGCAGAAAGGAAGGCATTGTCAAACTGGGTAGGAATATTAATTCCTACACCCTCCTCAGAAGGCAATTTGGTAACGTCCGTCGAAGCAATTTCACGAGAGCGCACCCACATGTGCTCAAAGCTGTACATATTGGCTCTTCATCACAGTAGCAAAAGATTGAAGAAAAACCAAAATAGGAAACTGCCAGTCCTGTGTTCTCGGAGGTAGAAAAAAAGACCTTAACTGGGTGTGATGTACAGTTGACGTTTTCCCCCTAAATTTTTATTTACTGATTGATTGTAGAGAGAGAAAGAGAAACAGGGACTTCAATTTGTTGTTCCACTTATTTATGCATTCATTGATGGATTCTTATACATGTCCCAACCGGGGATCGGACCCACAACCTCGGTGTATCAGGATGTGGCTCTAGCCAACTGAGCTACCTGGCCAGGGCTACAGTCGACTCTTGGAAAACACGGATTTGAACTTCACGGGTCTGCTTACATGATGATCTTTTTCATCTTGTAAACAGATGGGGTAAGCTTATGGTATGGATCGATACAGTACAGTACTGGAAATGGGTTTTCTCATCCTTGCGACTTTCTTAATATTTTCTTTAGCTTACTTTATTGTAAGAATATGGTATATAATACATACATAACCCACTATTTATGTTATTGGTAAGGCTTGTGGTCACTGTAGGTACGTTTTGGGGGAGTCAAAAGTTATATAGATTTTTGACTTTGTGGGGTATTGGTGCCTCTAACCCCACGTTGTTCAAGGGTCAACTATATAGTTCTTTGGTTTTCTCTATGAATGGTTTGGAAATTGAATTTCTGGGTTGAGTTTTCTTTTAACATGTCCTTTATTTTGATTTCTTTCTTCTTGTGTGTGTGTGTATGTTTTCAGCCTTTTATGTTGTGTTTTTTTTAAATCCTCACCAGACGATATTTTTTTAAAATTGATTTTGAGGGGTGAGGGGGAGAAGAAGAGAGAGAGAGAGGGAGAAATACTGATGTGTGAGAGAAACATCAATTGGTTGCCTCCCACACACGCTCAGACTGGGGATCGAACCTGCAACCTGGGTATGTGCCCTGACCTGGAACTGAACCTGCAGCCTTTCAGTGTCCAGGATGATGCTCCAACCAACTGAGCCACCCAGCTAGGGCTATGCTATGTTTTTAGTAGAGCTATTTTTTCCAATATCCCAGTTCCAATTAATTATTGGGTAAATGCAACTATTCCTAGATGCCTTTTTTCTTGAATGCACATAACAAATATGTATTTCCTTCATGTATATAAATGATGTCAGTTTGTTTAGAGTATTTGTCAGTGGCCCAGCTTCTGTCTTTATAAATTTAATAAGACACTAACCCTGGCCAGGCTCCTAAGAACTACAATTCTGAAATACAGAAATCAAATAATGAATAAAATTCCTTATCCCCTTGCATCAGCAATATGTTGATTAATTATGATTTTGTAGAACACTATTCTCATCAGCGATCTGTTTGATTCTAAAGGCTTGTAGGATATTGCCTTTTATTTTTTGTTTTCCTTCCCAGAAGACCCTGCATAGGCCAGTCACAGAGTCCTGCTCTATTTACATCCAGAGCAGCTCAGCTGTGACACTGGATGCCAGCCAGCGTTCGTGCCTGTCAGCCGACGTGTGTGCCCGCACGCGTTCTGGGCCAGCAGCCTAGCCTGAGGTCTCCCCGCCAGCAAACACGCAAGCTGGGCTTGGACCAGGGTAGTGGCCGGAGCCCCTGTGCTCTTATACAAACAGAGGTGGGAGCAGTCGCTGCTCCCTGAAGGCTCGTTTCTGCAGGCAGCCTGCCTGCTGGACGGCTGAGCGCCCGCGTCACGTGGCGCAGCTCTGAAGTCCCGCTCTGCTGTTTCCTGGCTGGGTGACCTCAGGCAGGTTACGCAACCTCTCCGAGCCTCAGTGTGGTCCTCTGCAGAATGGGATCATTAATAATTCCTTCTTTATAAATGTGCCAATAAGGCTTAAGAGGCAAGGTGTGCAGCCCGAGTGGAGTGTCTGACACATGCAAGCGCTTGGTATTTAAGTAGTTCTTATTAATAGTGGTAAACTAACAGAAATGCAAATCCCTATTTCTAATGTCTCCATGAGCCTCTACAGGGGGAAAAACGGTCTCTTCTGAGCAAGAACCCCTGGCCAGTGGGCTTTGCGATTATGCCTCAGAGTGAGACAGAAGTCGAATCCCACATTTAGACATAAGCACCCTCCACATTCGAAAAAAATAACTGTTCCAAAGCATCGTTCACGCCCCAAATATACTCACTCGTGAACTGGGACTGGCGGCCCCCGAGCCCGCACTGCCGCACCTTACACCCTCGGAAGAGCCCGTAGTAAATGTCCCCAATGAATTTCACCAGCTCTGGATCCGTGGCGTTGACCAGGTCCGCTCCCGTCTGACAGAGGATTTTCCCACTCAGCCAGCGGGGCACTGCCAGGGCGACGATGATGAGGGCGAAGGACGAGAAGCTGAGTAAAGATGCCAGCCCGTACCACACCTTTTTGAACCATCCAGGCATCCTAGTGGGCACGGGTCACCCCCCAGGTGTCCGAGCTGCAGGGGGGGCGGCTGACATCTTCCGGGCACTGGGCAATCCTCTGGTCCGAGGTCCGCTCTTGGAAACACAGCATTTCAAGGTCCCAAGCCCATCCCCGGGCCTCCCCGGGCGCCTGCGTCCACGGCCGTGTTTACTACGAGCACGTCTAAGTCCCTGCAGGGCCGGGGCCGCCTGACAGCGCAGAGTGTGTTACTGAAGGCCGTAACCCTACACCTCCCACTAGACTAGGTTTCAGCCCAGGGTTTAATTGTTCCTCCTTTCAAGTATTTAAATCCCCCTGGTGTGCACCTCTTCACGACAGGGACGCCTTCAGCAGGCACAACCGGGTGGGTCCGACTGTAAAGAGACACCAACGATTTTCAAAAATGCTTGCGGCGGAAAGAAAATAAGACAATGGCTGGACTTGCACACTGCCAACAATGCATGGGATCAAATGTCGCTCGCTCCGGCGTGTGCCCGGGCGCTTCTTTCTCTAAAATGTCACGGCTGTCAGAATCCCCAGAACTGCTATTAATACCATGAGATGACCTCCGTGCTCGGGCCTCTTAACTGAAATGTATAAACAAGGCTTGATGGCTCCTGGATTTATCCCTGGGTGAGTCTGCCGTGGGTGAGCCTGCAGCCCGGGCCCATCTGCGACCGCTGGGAAGCCTGGATCCCAACACTTACCTTCCTCTCTTCCGCCCCCTGCCTGTCGTGTCACTGAAATGGGAAAGTGAGTTTCTAACGTGTTGGCAAATAATGATCACACTTCTGGGGTGTTCTCTCTTTTTCTTTTAATCTGTAGGCACCAGGAATGAAATATTCCCATATTTCTGTCTTATACTATGGCTTTGAAATTTTGACTTTTAGTCTATTGCTTAAATGTCAATATATTATCTTGTGAGACTGGCAACAGCCACTGTCCATAGTTTTAAGGAGCAAGACTGGGCAGAAGGGTCAAGGCAAAATTCCATTTTTGGTCACAGAAGTCTGGGCGGGGGTTCAGATTTCCTTGCTAACCAACAGGAGTTTCAGGAACTTTACCTGGAGGGAGCTGAGAGGGGAGAGGGACAGAGGAGTGGAAATGCCAGATTCCTTCCCCATAATCAGAGTTCACTTCTGTGGTCTCTCCACAGTGGACCCAAAGAAGAGTGCCCCCAAAGTTTCTGCAGAGCTCGACCACCCACAAAGGGCTTTCCCATACGCTGGCTCGCCCCGACGCTCGGTAACCCTCCGTGGTGGGCAGGGGATGCACTATTCCAGCCATTTCTCTCCCGAGAAAACTGGAGGTCAGGTCTTTGACTTGCAATAGCTCATCTTCATCACAATGACCTTAAAACAGCAAATGTTTTTCCAGTAATAAATAACAAAATACATATAAAAGACGGCTTGGCACATGAAGAGTTCACCGATAATGATTTTCTATTTAACATTGAGCTTGCTTTGAGACTTAGGAAACATCTACTGCTTTTGCATCACATTTCGGCCCCAAACGATGGACCTATGTCAACTTTTGGTGTTTTAGAGGTTAAGCAATTATTTTTAGAAAAATTATATGGGAAACAACTGATTCCCAACAGGCTCTTGTCAGGACCAGCGGAGGTGTGGTTAAGCAGAACTGCTGAAGACCTGGGTTCAAATTCCTGCTCTTCTGGGCAAGTGCCTGGGACTCTCATGACTCAGCTTCCTAAGCTGTCATAGGATTGCTGTGCGAGGTAAAATGAAATGGCACAGGCAGGTCTCTTAGCACAGTGCGTGGCATACAGAGGGCCCCAAATAACTGCTGTTCTCTCCATCCAGTCTCCTAGCAATTCTGTTTCCGGTAATGACGTTTCTGATAATAAAATGAGCTACAGGGTGCAGCCTGTTCTCCCAGGATGCACTTCTGGCAGCCTTATCTGGCACAAGTCTATTGAGCAAACATCTGTGTGTCTGCTGGGTACAGGGCCTGAGTTTGGGGCAGGGTGACACAGAGGTGCATAATAGGGGATCCTGCTGTCAAGGTTACAAGCGTTAGGACAGCGGTTCTCAGCCAAGGGTGATTTTTGCCTCCCCCTTCCTGGGGGGACATTTGGAAATATCTGGTGATATTTTTTATTGTGATGACTGGAGGGGTGGGGTGCTGCTACGGGCATCTAGGAGGTAGAGACCAGAGATGCTCTAAACCTACTAAAATGCACAGGACAGCCCATCTCCCCACCCCATGCTACACAAAACCGACAGAGCTGCAACTGAGAAACCTCGTCTCAGGGGCACAGGCCATGCGAAGAAGTGAACTAATTTGCAAGAGAGAAAATGCCAGGCTCTGTTGGTGGGGCACGTGGTGCCATTTGGTGGGGGCTCACATATGGCCACAGATGTCCAAGGACAGTATTACAGGACTTTACATCATTGAACTTGTGTCCCTACCAAAACAAAGGCCTTCGGTGCACTCCTATTTTTAAGCAACTTTGTAATCATTTCCTGCAGTTTTTTTTTTACTATTAAAAGCATTAATTTGTAAAGTATAAACACTTAAAATATAGTATACTACAATTTTTGTATCATTTGCTAGGCAATTTTTAATGCTTAAATATGCCCCCAAGTAGGTATTTAAATACCCCTCCCCCCTCCCCAAATGCAAGCAGCCCGGAGCTGACAATCTCTAAGGGGCCCAAGTGAACTGTAGCAGAAGCAGCGGCAAGAGCAGGATCACCGACGCCCAGCCGGCATTTACTGAGCTCCTGCTACTCGCCTCTCACGCTGAGTACGCCAGCCTGGCTTTTAAAGTCCCTCCGAAACCCGAGGGGGCCAGGCCACTAGCACCCCCACTTCACCGGCGGGGAGACTGAGGCTACGAAACGGCAGCGAGGGGAGCGGTGCGGGACGCGGACGGCCTTCGCCCGGAGCAGCTCCCGGGCTCTGCTGCAG